TTCATGTATCCTCTTTGCTTCTGTTGAAGACGTATCTGTATCTGTTATATCTGATTTGAATAAATTTACTTACTTACTTACCTATCTTCGAATGTGCCATTTTTTGACAAGGAAGCCATTCCGGATATTTTATCCAGTGGTGCCCTAAAGGGGGTTGTGGCAACTTTTCCTCCCATATATTATATTTGATTTGAAAAATGTCCAAAGCTCTAAAGATAAAACAGCATCTGATGTCATAAGAACATATTTATCAATAATGAAATAACATTACAGGCCCATTATGTTAAACCCACAAAGACATTGATAAATACTAATCAGCAAAAGTGAATATGCTTTTTTTAACAGGTTACTTCCATTTTGTGATAGTCACAATCTTTTCACTCCTATTATAGTGAGATAATTAGATGTATTGAGGCAAGAGCTTGTCCTGTTGGGATTTTCTGTGATCTCAGTAGGGCATTTGATTGCGTTGACCATAACATTCTCTCAAACAAACTCTTCAGATATGGTATTCGTGGTACTCCACTGGTCTGGATAGCAGGCTACCTTTCTTTTAGGGAACTATTTGTTGGAATCAACAAAATACCATCTTACTTCGTTTCAACTGATTCAGGGGTTCCACAAGGATCAATTTTGGGACCGATATTATTTCTATTTTATGTTAAAGACCTTGATAAGTCAATTGATACATCTATGACCATGTATTCAGATAATACCTCCATAACTATCTCTGATAAAAATGATCCAGCCCTCAAGGATAAATGCAATCGAGTTTTTCATGATTAGAATAGATGGTTTTCTGCAAATAATCTTTACTTGAATGTTGATGAAACAGTTTCGATTCGATTTCACAATCGTCAGAAAGAGTGTGGCTTTATTACTTTCCAGGCAAAGGAAAATTCTGATCTTGTTATTACAGATAGTGAAAGCTCCAAATTCCTGGGACTCTCTAGCGATCAACATTACCTTGTCTTATAATATTTGAAGATTGTGTGTTTCCCAAACATAATGTTCCGGAAAAAAAAAGATGTATATGTCCCATTTGGTAAATGTAAATTGGCATACAGTTCCCCTAATCTCATGGCCCCACGAATTTTCAACTTACTGCTAATCAACATAAAAATCTGTGAAACATTGGCTATGCTTAAAAGAAGATTGAAAGAATTTCTGTTACATAACTGTTTTCATAGAGTAGACGAGTATATGTCCCTTTAGTTTGTAAGACTGTATTGACGATTCCTATACAATTTGAAATGTAATTGTCAAAAGGAAAATAAAGTTTATCTATTTATCTATCTATCTATCTTATAACAAAATGAAATTTGAGAAGCTCACTGATAGATTAGTGGCCTGAAAAGGATGATAATAAAAATAAACTGAACAACCTCAAACGCACACGCACAATCTCACATATATCAATAAAAACAAAGGGTGTCATTTTTCATCGCCGATACATTGATTATCGTAATCAACCAATACCAAATATCAAAAATAACGTCTCTTACCGGACATATTACTGCTGTCATCCGAAAAATACCCGCCCTTCTTCGGCGTGCCCTTGTCGTTCGATATGCTCAGCACGCTCAGATCCGAATTGGAGCCCGCGTGGCTCAGCCTGGCAGGCGTGTCTTCCGTGCAGTACGTCCTCAGCGTGTCGCAGTGTTCGGAAGACGATGCCGGCTGCTTAGGAGGGTCGCGAGACGTTTTCGGGGCGTACTTGAAGCTGGACAGGGGCAGCTTGCTGGGCGTCGAGGTGTTGTTGGGTATCACTTGGTTGTTCCTGAAGGAAAATTGGATGCAACATCGACGGACATTTTTTTGATTGCAATCTTGCATGAAACGTATTTGAAAAAATATGATTGGTGTATTCATCAACAACTGTTTTCTAGACTGAAGCACCGCAGAATATTGAATTACATCCGTTATACTGTGGAACTTGGAAATTTCATTTTTGTACTCAAGATAGATAAAGTCTTTATCGAACGACGAAAAAATTCATTTTCATAGAGGTTCTTACTCTGAAAATCATGTCACGCAGAAAAAAAGAAAAATATAAAATAGAGACAGTACATTTCGTCTTGTCAGGTACATTGGTTACAGAGTAGTATTGAAAATAGCTTGATTATATCACAGAATTTTTCACTACTTATCATTATTTTATAATATTACAAAAGTACTTGAGCAGATTACAAATGTTACCGAATCAATTCAAAGCTTAACAAAGATGTAAGTTGATTATCTCATAAGGAAGTATTCCCAACAACCAGAAGTTCAAAAAAATTCCAATACCTACCTCATGTCCCTATCCTCCCTAGGAACGCACGATGTTCTTTGAACATTATAGGAATTTCCTTTCGTGCGCTCCAAGCGATAAAAAAAGGCATTTTTTAATTTTTTATTTATTTATTTATTTATTTATTTATTTATTGTACGGGTAACCCCCATTATAATAAAAAAAAATCATGTATTAAATCTATGTAGTCACTAAAAAAGTTTAACTAATTAAAAATTATTATAGTATACATTATAAATATGAAAATAGATGGAAAAATTACTCCCTCAGTGGAAATTATATACCAAAATGTCCATATCTATTGATTATACAAAATGAAACTTATATTATGTGATAATGATGCTCATAATGTTCTCAATACATTATTTTTGAATGCAGTAAGAGTTATGCCTGTTATCTCTATATTTTTCTCATTCACCAATCTGAGTGTACGATCAATAGGAGAATGCATACCATAGTTAGAACGATGGAAGGAAATTCGAAACATATCAGAATTCCTGAGAATTCTACTAGGTACATGTAAAAATATCATTTCAAGGAGCTCAGGACAAATAACAAGGCCTCCAATCAACTTGAACATAAACATCAGGTCAGCAATTGTTCTTCTTTTATTCAAAGAGTTGAGGTTGAGAATGTTCATAATAGAGGTATAGTCATGGTTATCTATACGAATGTTCATTTTATATGCACAGAATCTCATGAATTTATGTTGAACTCTTTCTAATGTAGTGCAGTGATTCTCATAAAAGGGTGACCAAACAATTGACCCATACTCTAACCGAGATATTATTAATGCCATATATACAGTACGTATTGAACTCACTGACAATTGTTTGCAGTTACGCAAGATAAATCCCAACAATTTTGATGTATTCACTGAAATATTGTTTATATGCTCTACAAATCGTAACTGTTCATCAAAAGTGACTCCCAGGTCTTTAACTGATTTAACATATGTTAACTGGTTTCCATCAATAGAGTAAGAAGTACAAAAATTTTTATTCAATTTGTAGAAGCTAATTGAGCAACATTTATTGATATTCATATGCAAGTTATTTTCATTGCACCACCTAGCCAAGTTGTCCAAATCATGCTGAATCAATTAACATCATCTAATGAATTTATTTGTCTAAAAAGCTTCAAATCATCTGCAAACAATAAAAAATCTGAATTTTCAAAACAATGTACAATGTCATTAACAAAAATATTAAATAGGAGAGGAGCACAATGAGACCCTTGAGGTACACCTGAAGGTACAGGAATAATATTCGATTTTGCTTGCTTGATTAATAATAATTTGCTGTTACATCCTTTTAATTCAACAGGCATTTCTTTGAATATTTAAACAGCTTTGAAGCAAATGGATTTTTAATAGGCTTCCATAGATGCGTTGGGTAAGAATAACTTCTTGCTTTTATGGGTATTGTGAGAATATAAACAATCACATGTCATAAACGACAGATTTGTGAATTTTTGTTTAATGGTTTGGTGATCACGTATTGTTGGGATCAAAATTACTTTTTTTCAAATAAACAACCACTGTGTAGACCCCCTCCAATCCCCAAAGATAGGTTTACATGATTTTTCAAAGCAAGAAATAAATAGAGTTCCTGAAAAACGCAGTAATTTTTTTTTATTCGCTCCGTTATTATCGAGGTTATTAGTCATAATATGAAATTATCATTCTTCTAGGTACCTTACAATGTCTGTGGCTTGGAAGGTGTGCATCTTAGGAGACATTTTTATTTTTGTTCATTTTAGAACATGCTGTATTCTCAAGAATCTTGTGAAAAGCTCAATGTTTGTGAAAAACTATCAATTCATAGTTAATTTGAAAAACATTTGAATTAGGGTATAACTGACGTGCTTCTTACCTGTTAGTGCTCGTTTGCATACCGATATTTATGCAATCCGCTAAAATACTTTCATCAGCATCATCTTCGGACTCCTCGTCATTTATGTCAGATGCCGTAGTTTCCTTTTCGGCATCCTTCTTTTCGGTTTCCTCATCTTTTTGTGCTTCTTCTTCCGAACAACCAGAAGATTCAGCTCGCTTAGAAACAGAATCCTAAAAGAAAAACCCGGTCACAATTCGAAAACTTTCAAGAGCTAATACTACTAGATGTGTCATCGTCTTGATGTATTGCATGGTCTCGTTTGTCAAATTCATTGGTTGGTTCCCACTCTACGATTTCAAAGTTGATATCGAATTTATGTATATTAAAAATTAAATTGGTCCCAAAACTGACCCTTGCGGTACACCACATATAATATTAGTTAGGAAGATACTGACCTGTTGATTCGCTTCTTCATGATCATCGATAGTGAGGCTACTCAAACTGGTCGCAGTGGAAAACTGGATGGGTGTACTTTCCTCTTTGAACTTCAGCGTGTTATCTTCAAACACGCTGGTTTTCGGCGGCAGTCTAAGCGCGTGTTCGGGCGGCCTCGGTTTAGAGGTCGTCGGAAAATCCATCGGGGTTTTCCTCGGCTTAGGACTAGGAGGAACGGTTTGGGTGGGAGAGTCTGGAAGCTCGCTCGGAGAAACGATTCCGCTTGGAAGACGACTGCAAGAATTAAATCAATTAATACATTTCGATTCCAACACCAAGCATCTTTAGCATGGTGCTATGAACCAATTTGGAGTGAATAATTATTTACGACCGCAAAAATCTAGGAAACTATTTTTTTTATTCGATAAAATCCGATACCAAGCCATTACGCAGGTAATAATTATCCGATTTTGAAAAACAAAAGAGCAAATGAAATTGCTCATCAGATACTATATGAATAGAAAGAAATATAATGGAATAGAAGAATATTTATTCCGCTCATATAAGTACAATACAATATATGGCACAAATGGTGACATTCGTATTAACGTTCATCCATGCCACCAGAACTGACTCATAATCTACATGTAAATATATATAATTACATATGTATGGAAAGAGAAGACATTTACTACTTCACTGAAATAAACGAAATGTAATCCAAGATTTACCCATTATTTGTCTGCAATGCAGTTACATTTTTCTCGAGTTCCGCCTTGAAATTGGATAAAGATACTCCTTGAATCATTTGAAAATATATATTGGTATCCAGAAATTTTGTAGATGTATATGCATAACAGCACTCAAATTTCGAAGTTGCATGTTGTGGAATGTTGAATCTTATTGAGTTCCTCAAATTCAAGTCATGATAATCTTGTAAGTATTATCAAATTAGAGAGATAATCTGGCTCTTCAAATGTCAATATTTTATATATGAATATACCGAACAGTATTATGTATCTGAATTGAATTTTAATACGCGAATTTTGATTGTGAATATATGTTATGTGGTCATATTTCCTTATACAATATACGAACCTGATACACAAGTTTTGGGTTAATTGCAGCTTATTTCTATAATCGGTGGACAAATAGCTATAGTAAACTTGTATACAGTAATCAACATGTGGGTAAAAAAGTGATACTACTAATTTATATTAAATTATTTCTGGTAATATGAATCAAAATTTAAGAGATTTCAATATCATGAAATAAATAAATGAATAAATAAATAAATAAATAAAATGCAGACCAAGCTAATTTTTTTTGCAACATGCTTCTCAAAGTTAAGATTGGCATAAAAAATCACATCCAGATTTCTAGCAGACTTTTTCCGAAGTAGTTCTACTCCATCAATGTTGACAGTTGTAAAGTTGTTTATTTCAACTTTGGCTTTAACTGAATTAATACCAATTATCAGAAAGCTACTGTTTTTAGCATTTTCAGTTAGCCCATCATCCTTTGACCGCTTAAATATCCTGGATAAATCTAAATTTATTTCTTCTAGAGATTGACTTGCTCTTGATGGCTCAAATGCTTTTATAATCTGAACATCAACAGTATAGAAGTGTCTAGAGCATTGAGTAATAATTGAGCTCTCAAGATACGCAGTGTAAATACCAAATAATGTTGGACCTAATATGCTACCTTGCGGCACACCGTATAAACTGAGAGCTGGGTACGATTTTTTTCCATCTACTTTTACAATTTGAATTCTTCCTTTCAGATAGCTTCTAAACCATTGCCAAACGGGTTCAGAGAAGCCATAGTATCCCAATTTTGCTATGAGGAGGTCCATATTCAGAAGATCAAATGCTCTAATCACTAGTCAGCTACTGTTAACTTTTTTTCTTTCAAATGGTACCAAATGTATTCCTATCTTTTTACTGTTCGAGATTTTTTTTAAATGTGACTGCAACAAGGCATATCTTTTTCACTGCAAATATTTTTCGATGTGTCAATGTTTTGCTATGAAAAACCGACAACAAAACCAAAACATTTCGATATCAGAAGACGCAACTACCTTGACTAATAAAACTTCGAGAAAACAAAAGTAACATGAAGATAACTCACCTAAAGTCTGATACCACCGAACTTCTATCATCGTGTATGGAATGCTGCTCTATACTATCGAGAGAAGCCAGCGAACTAGACCTCGAGAACATCAGCGGAGTCTCTTCTGCATAGTTCACCACCCTCTCAAACTTGACGTTCTTAGTTTCTGTGGGCGTTTTCGGGAAAACCTTCTCGGCCGGCTTTGTATCGGGTACCCTTTCCGACTCCAGACCACTCTCCTCGATATTCTTCAATTTTTCATTGGCTGGAATGGAAGTTATGGAGCCGAAGCTGCTCACTCTGGAAAAATATCCAGGCGTTCCTTCTTCGGCGTAGTTGACGGGCTTTTCAGGCGATAGGAGACCCGAGCTGAGCTCGGATTTTGGTATTTTGTCTACCAATTTGGTTTGAGCCTCGCAGTCAGAAATATCCTCTGTAGAACAACGGTCCTTCTCCTCTAAATTCTCACTATTCTCCTTGTTGACTTTCGGGACAGTCTCCTTCAGTTTATCGTTGTCGATAACAGATTTGTCATCCAGTCGCAAGTCTGACATGGAAGTGGCTGTGGAGAAATTGAAAGGTGTCTCGTATGGGGTATCTTCAGTACAATAAGTCTTGACCGTATCCTGCACGTATTCGGTCTTCTTGTCGCAGATCTCCGAATCGGAATCATCCTCAGCATACCGCAAAGAGTAATCAGTGGGCTGGTCCAAATCGGTCTCTGCGTATATGCTGAAAGTCTCTTTCTTGGGCTGCTTTCCGAAGGAGTAATCACGATCCTTGCTGGAGCACACCTCATCAGCTTCCCTATTGGGCAACTTGGTCTCGGAGTATTTCTTACTATAATCTATAGGTTGGTCCGAAATATCGATTTCATCTTCGTAAGCACAGTCCGAAAACTTGTTTCTCACTGGTATGTAAGTGAAGGGATTGGTATGTTTGATAGGAGGGTTCAGATACGGCAGACTAGAGCTACCATAGCTCTGAGGTATTCTAGACTGCAGCCTAAGTTCGCTGGTATAGCTGGTAGAGGGCTCGTTCAAACTCAAGCTAGCAAAGTTATTGCTAAGCCTGTTTTCATCCGGGCTACTAGGCCTTCCCTTGGATTTCCGTCTGTTATCCTGGAAGTCAGGATCCTTCTTTATCGGTGAATCCTTCTCGATATTCTCGTACGTCTCGCTCAAGCTCTGGTCCAAATCTTGCAACAGAGCTTTCTGCTTCCGAGCTCCCAGAGTCGGCAGCACTGGCAAGTCCAGCGACAAAGCTGTGGAGTCCAGCTGCGGCTGCAAAACTTGCTGGGGCTTGGCACTGAGCAGATTCTTCAGGGCCGCGCTGGATCCCATAGCGATCATCTTGTGCTTAGAGTGATTTAAGCTGCGCAGCATGCTGGGCGCTCCCATTCGCCATAGGGCTTCTTGGTCAGCCACGCATTTAGCAGAGAGGTTCCACAGCGTGCCGCAGGCATTGCTGACGATAGTCAAACTGGGGGATTTCAGCTGGTCTAGCAGGATCTGAAGGCAATTGTGTTGTCGCAATGTCTCCCTGAAATCCTCTCTCACGGCGATTTGGCTAGAAATGTTTCGCAGTATCCCTCCAGTGTTCTCTATTATGGCCAAGGATTTCGTGGGGGTTTTGTAGGTTAGCATGTCCACGAGGAAGCCTAGAGCTCCTTCGACAGCGCAGATTTCAGATTTGTTTTCTGTGCAGTGGGCGGACAGGTTCCACAGAGCTGACAAGATGGATTTCAAGGTGTTTTCTTTGTTGTCCAACATGGAGGCTTTCATGAGACCTGTGACCGAACCGACTTCTTTCAAGATTTCTTTAGAAGTAGAATCTGCTCTCCATGAAAGGTTTCTCAAAACACTTGCAGTGACCTAAACAATTATTCATGTTTCAGTGTTTGAGCTGAAATGTTCACGTTTCATACGAAATTGGGTTGAAACAAGCGAACATCAATAAATAAATTATAATTGGATAATCATACTGCTGGACAAACAGCAAGGAAGCGATATTATAGTTCAAATAGAATTTTTCTTGTTTTTCAAGAAATTACATCCTTGAAAAAATTATATACATTGGATATTAAAATTGATGATGCTTACAAAAATGTCAACAAAATCTCAGGCCAAACAATGAACTTTATTCAAAAACTGATGTTTGAATAAAATATCAACTGAACTGATCGAAAAAAGTTGAGAATATTGTGTTTTTGCAATGTGTCGTTTGCGTTTAAAAATATCCTTTTTTTCATCAAATGAATTGTCTGGAATTCTCATCAAAGAATGAGAAATCTCGAATAGAAACTGTATGAATCAAACCGGTATATTGCAAATATTAGTGCCAATATGTAGTTATTTATTATACAAGGGAAAAAAGTAGTAGATTTTAGTTCCAGGTTGTGTTGTCTTCCGACGCGTAGCGGAGGGAGACAAAAAACCGTGAGCTAAAATCTAATATTTTTACCGTCTATAATACACTATTTTTTTCTGTGACAGAAGAAAGGACGAATCAATATTGAGAAGATATTACATTATTTTGAGATCTGAAAATTATCGACGTGAAATTTCAAGTTTTTAACAGTAGGGACACCTGCGTTGTAGGTATCTTTATCATTCTTTTGAAGTAATCAAATATCTGATGTCACTTCTGTCAGTCTAATTCTGTGATTTGATTTCAAAAAATTGCGAATTTAGTGGTTTTTCAGTAATATACGTAACCGCAAATTCGAATGGAAGATAAAGGGACTTTCAGCTCTTTCTCGTAGACGGTATTATTGACTCATTTTTCGGAACTATAGCACAACAAAACCCATCAACAGTGTATATGTGATAAATATCCGGAAAAAAAGTACTCACTTTTTTCCCACGGCAAAAAAGTAATTTATGAAGTGACATTTTATAACCTGCCAACAGAGATGAAATGCCAAACTTTTTTCCCGTCACAGAAAAATAACTATTTTTTCAGTTTCCTAAATACAGGAGTTTTGAAAAATATTATTCCTTCCTGTTTTTCAGGTAAATTTTTTGGTGATGAATATATGAGATCAATTTTTCATCCATAAATCATTTTCTCCATGTTCATGTTTGGTTTTATTTAATACTCATGAGAATGGATATTTCAGAACGGTAATTATCAATATCAATAATATTAACTATTCTACACTTCTGCTATCTGTAAGTGTCCTTTTTACTGGTTATATCATTCCTAACATTGATTGATACTACAATAATTAATGAGTAATATTTTTATCTCTTATACCTCCCAGCTTCTTCTAGAATGATGAAACTGAAATGATGCAAATAGACATGTGAAGATTTCTCATAACATCTCGTTGCCCTCAAGTACTACCTATATAGGTAATTTAACAATTACAGTGAGAAAATCCGGTCTATTAAAATGTTACATAGAAATAAATGGAAATCACACTGGAAGAATACCTATTTCATTACATTTTGTGAATATGGAATATTACATAGCATAAAGTGTCTGTAGTGGTGTGCAGAATAGCAGCATCCATATTGAATTTTCAATTCAAATTATTGTCTCATATGGCGTCATTTATGAGTCAACAATAAAATCATAATGCTATTTTGGTGCCCAACTATAGTCGAATCACAAAGTCATCACCGCAAACACCATCTCAGATGCCTTATGCATTCAGCTACCTATAAACTGTCCTTGTTTGTCCAGCAGCTTCGATTGTGAATATTCGCTAACTAGATAAATTAGCTCAAATACCTGTCGCAGCTCGTCACTAGGACTCTGCAGCTGTACCACCAATGCCCTCATGAATTCCCTATACGAGCATAGCAAAGCTTTGTTGCCGCTATCACCGAAAGTGAGGTTCGTTAGTGCCATACAAGCGTACCTGCGCATCAAGAGACAGTGTGTGTCCGTCCATGTGCTACCGTGCAATGTATGTTCCACCTAGAAAAAGTGCAGGGAGGAGGTTCAAGAATACTGATGGAAAAACAATACTGAGTTTGGCGAAAGCGGTCTTTGGCTTTGTTCAGAAAACAACAGTCCTATATACGAAAGGGTTATAAAACACAATATCATCTCAACAACGTTTAATAATCGAAAGATGAAATGAATACAAAAAGCTCAGCCATTTTCACAAATGTTCACAAAATGAACATCAATGGTAGATGACGAGAGAAAAACAAATACATTCCTGTCTAATGCCATACATAATATGTATGGCATAATATATCATTGTTAAGTTAATTAACTTATATGAGCCAGTCGACACTGTCATATACTTCATAAATAAAAAAATCAGGTATTAGACTTACAGTCAAGATTACATTATCACAGCATTGGAGAACATTTTGTGCACACTTGTTCACATATTTATTCATTTTGGTCTAGTTTAGTGAAGTTTGAGGAAGTTTTTCAACTTTTTCTTAAATATCATTATTAGAGGACATTTTATGTGGAAAGGAAGCTCATTATACAAAGTGACACCGTTGACAAATATTGAGTGTTTTCAGATGTTGTAGAGAACCTCATTGATTCCAAATCATTGTTGTCTTGTACTATGGCGATGAATATCATTTCTCCTGATAAAAGTTAGGTTAGTCAGCCTCTTTGAATTAATGATTTGGTATATAAAGACATACTTGGTATTTGTAAATGGCATTCAGGGGCATAATGTTATAATTTTTATGGAGATTTCAATTGGCTTTATCACTTTTTTGAAGGAAGAGTACCATAGTAGAGTAAGATATTGTATGTGACAATGTGTATCAATGAATAGTAAATTCCTCTTCCATAATATACCTATTGGAGCTGCAATCTTAGATCTCAGTTTGTCTAAATGGGTTTTACAGGACAAAGTTTCGTCAATGTCGAGACCAAGGTACTCAATAACTCGAGAGTTTTACAAGGTTGTATTCCCATACTGTATGTTCACTTGGACATGGGGGGTTTGTTGAATTATATTGCATTAAATAAATGTCAACTTTTTGGCGTTTATTTTTCATTTTGCAATTCATGAAAATTTTATATTTTTTGTTGATTTGATAACATTACTACCTTAATACCATAGCATCATGTGTCTGTGAATTAATTCTATATACAAAAGTGATCAATGAAGTGCCTACTTAGAGTGAAAAGTGCATATCTCTAGGTGAAGATCAATAGAGGGATATACTGATATACATAACACATATTTTATTAGTGATTTCGAAATATTTGAAAAAAAAGTAGACTAGAACAATATAAATTGTTTGCATGTTTCAAGTGATCAATCTAGATCGCAACTTCCGTATTTTTTACAGTAGGTAAAAATACCGGAAACTTAGCATTCCCTATTGAATCAGTAAATACTCTTATATCATTTTCATCTAGAGTACCTTGACATGATTGACATTTTACACTTCAAAGAGAAAACCGGAACACTTGTCTCCACTGGTTTCCGGATATGTCAGTTCTAAAATTGAATAGTCGTCCCCGCTAAAAAGGTTTTTGAATAAATAAATCTGAACTGTAAAATGTTGTCCAGAATATGTTCTCTACTAGATCCGTCCTTGCCTTACCGTAAAAAATAGAAAGAACCATCGGTATGTGCAACAGAAACTAATATATTTTGACCAAAGATCTAACAATATTATATACTCTACTAGATCCACTCCTCTCTTATCGTCCTGTACAAAGGCATTGAAATTCAGGTGAAAAAGAAAAAGGGCCATCCGTATTGTTGCATGTGCAACAAAAACAAATTAATTTTAACACAACCATCAGCTGTAAGTTCAGGTAGTTGTTTGTTGCCTCTCTCTCGTTTGTCGAATTCATAGGTTCATTCTCTATATATTTGTTTAGATGCCATAAATGTTCGATTTGAAATTTCAAGATCTTTAAGTACATAAATTCACACTAAAAACTCAAATTCAATGAAAATAATTAGCAAAATCCCATTCACAACACAGCTAGCATGGTGGCGAAATTTGTACCCAACCATTAGCTGATTTTGTTCTGCTTTGTGTCTCACTCTTACGTTGTCGTCAATTCCTCTCTTTCTCTCCAAGCACTAGTATCTAGGAGTTTAATATTATTAGATCCTTGGAATTCAGATTAATAATAAATACATCTTTATGAACCACTAGTTGATAAAATGATAAAAATAACTAACCACTTCATGCCTAGGAAAGAAATAAGTTTTGGTATTTTCTAGGACTAGTGGCGAAAAAAATAAATCATTATGTAAAATATCATTACAATGTCAGGAGGTTCGACGCCAAGGCTACTATTGAAGTGATCGATAAATCAATTACTAACCTCCACTAGAGATGCAATTGTATGTATTCCACCCAGAAGACATATAGCCTGTCGATGGCCTTCGTCAAAAGATAATTTCATCAAGTGTGCTACTGTTTGTACAGGGTGTTTATCACCATCTGAAAACAAGATCAGCTCATCAACAAAGCATCAACTAACCTATACTGGATTGAACCTCACAGTGAGTGTGAAGATATGTGTTAAAATATAACATTCTGTAAACATGAAAATATGCTGCAATCAATATATGACACGAAGTTACAATAATGAGAAATTCAAATGGATGAATTATAATATAAAACTAAAATCGTAAAATGACCATGAGTTACAAAAAAGGCACATCACAAAATAAACAATGGTGATCGAACAAATAATGTTATCCTTACCTTCTGAAGAGAAACTACCACTTTCCATTATTTGTTCATATTCCGTATTGTTCCTGAGCGCTTCAGTGTAGTGTTTGCATTGCCCCAAAAGTTTCAGTACCCTACTTTCCCGTTTCCGAAGTTTTTCATCCGGCTGAGAATGGACAAGATTGTGTAACGCTTGTCCAGCCTTTATCCTCGTATCCCCATCTCTGTCTGATTGAACTAATTTCACTAATAATGGGATACAACCTGTGAAGAAACGAATAAATCAGCTCCTGATAATATTTCATAAGACATTAGGATCATTTGGAAGATATTATTTCCGAAGATATGATTAACATTAATAACATTTCGAGTTTTTTTGTTATGATCCGGCTAACGGTGAACAACTGATTGAATGTTCACTAATATCCGATCTAAAATATCATCGTCTTTTCAAATTCAATAAACTGACCATTGCGCCGCCGAAATTCTATTTATACAAGGTATTTGCTGAACATATTTCAAAAATTCTAGGGGATACAATGATGATCTAGCTCTACTTTCTACAACCGCCTGCAACAAAAAAGTGATTCTCAATAATGGTAATATTATTAGAATATGAAAAAAAATCTTTCAATTTTGAAATGATTGTAGCAAAGTTTCGTTAGACTCCAATCATTTGAGTATTGCTGGCCAAGTATTTTCGAGGATAATTTCAAATCTTCTTGAACCGTGTATAACTCATTCGTTGATGATTGCATACAATTATTCCATAAAAAATACTGATTGTTGGCCAATGTTTCACTTGAATGTATTTGGTATCAAGTGTTTCAATTGTCTTGTTCAATATCTATTCTTCATTGAAAGCTAGGTTGGATTTTTTTCGATTCCCTGGAAAAATGGAAAAATATTTCCAGTTAATAGTTGCTGTTTTAGTTTGATTCCTAATTTTTTTATGTTAGTTTGATTGGTATTATTTAGTTTTTTCTTCTTCTCATTTCTTGAAAGAAAATTCAAATTTATAGTAATTTTATTCGTTATTTATCTCAGTCTGTAGGCAGATGATCTAATCCTGACTACCATCATGCCTGGTATCATTAAAATTTATATAAGAGTTTGAAAAACGCAACTATCTACTATATAGTTTATCTGATTTAGATCAAATTCAATTTTTATATACCTCTGTTATATACAGTTTTCTTCTTACGTTTGTTCCTTTATTTGTTTTGTACTTTTGTTGTTCATTTTTACTATTCGTTCCTGTTTTTTATATACTCGTATCTTATAAGTACCTATGTAACTGTATGTTGTGAGTATTTTTCAATGGAGAATTAGGAATATGATTATTTTTTATGAGAATGTTTGTCTTGTTTGTTTCTATTCTGTTGTAAATAGGTTACTTTTCTGTTTACTAAAAGTACCTAATGTTTTAACGTCATAGGTTTATTTCATTATTCTATCTTGGAATTCGTACAGCATGAAATAGATTAGAATTTTGTTAACTGTCATTTGCTGTTGTCAAATCAATTATTCACGAAATCCGATAGATTTCTCAGTAGGACCGTTATGGAGATATGTACTTGAGGTCGATGAAAAAATGTTGCATGCACCTCGGCGATAAACTGTCTATTGTCTCGCTTGATTGCTAGCCTCGGATATTAATTTGTAGACTCGATTATAATAGACAGTTTTTCGTCCATGGTACATAAATAACTATTTCTTGAAAAATATGACCAACCTGATTGGCGCATGGCAAGGCAACTCTCGGGACAAGTACTCAACGCCAAGAGAGTCTCCCCCATATCGACGTGCTCCTGGCCTCCCAGCATCGCTAGAAGGCTGTGCACCACGTCCATTTTGGCTTCCAGCTGTTGGGAGGACCATTTGCTGGAATCCGGACTGCCGAGGACCCTGTCCAGCGGTACGCCACCTGAGCTCGAGGCGAAACTCATGACACTCGTGACATCCTGAAAATAATCAATTTCATATATACAGTGTGTCTCACCCCTGTATCTTACGTAATCATTGGGTAAGGATCCTTAAATTTACTGGAGCGAGAGATATACCTAAAATGCACTCTATGACCGAATGGAATCATCTTCAGTGATATACACTGCTCGCCAACAGCCAAGGAACCACCCCAATTTTCGGAAAATGATATTGGGAGTCAAAATAGGTTGAAAACCACTCCGGATTTTTCATGAAAACACCCCCATATCTTATGAAATCATTGGGTTAGGATCCTGAAACTTGTTGGAGCAAGAGATACATCAGAAATTCACTCAATGACCAAGTCGAGTCATCTTCAGTGCTCACATAGGTTGAAAATCACTTCGGATTCAAACATAGGAGATCTTATTCACTAACTATTATTTATTTTCCAGAAAAATTGTCTGTTCTAGGAGATTTATTTGAGTGAATTTTTATTATATCTCTCGCTCCAGCAAATTTCAAGATCCTAACCCAACGATTTGATTAGATACAGAGGTGTTTCCATGAAAAGTGAGACGAAAATGAATGTTTCAGAACTTGAAAATTCTCAGGAAAAACATCAATAGTCAATGAATAAGGCGTCGTGATTCCGAATTCAAAGTGATTTTCAACCTCAATTTTGACTCCTAATATCATTTTTCGGAAATTGGGGTGATCCCATGGCTGTTGGCGAGCAGTGTATATCACTGAAGATGACTAGACTCGATCATAAAGTACATATTTGGTATATCTCTTGCTCCAGCAAATTTCAGGATTCTTACTCAACGATTACGTGAGATACAGGGCTGTTGACATTAGAAGTGAGACACACTGTACATCACTTTTTTTCGAGAACATAATTTCTTGATTAATTTATTCCGATACCGAATCGCACTGTATTTTATATTTCAATTTCACTTGCCGTATAATCTCGATATTGATAAAAGACTTGTTCTGGAATTAATCGGTTAGAAGTGTGATGCAACTATTTAGTCATGCCGGACGAGGTGGTGAATCAAAGCAATCAGTCTTATTTTAGATAGTGTCGTGTTCGGTCGAATCAAGTAGTACTTGAAATAAAACGATGATTTCGTGCTACTTGCAAGTAATACGAACCGAATAGAAATGTCATTTCAAACGGACTGTTGTGAGTGTTGTGTTTTTTAATTCCTTGTTCAGTACAGTGAATATATCGTGTGAAGTGCTTGTTATTGTGTTGTTTTACTGTGGAGAAGCCGAATTTTCAATACAGGGTATGTCACGACGAGCTTACACTATCTCTATGTCGAGAAACAATCGGGAGAAATTCATGAAAATATGCATGCTTATATTTAAGAATGCGCTCTCTTCTTTTGAAATATTTTCAGCACTGCAGTGTTTCCGCTTTTCGAATAGAATACCCTGTATTTTATTGCATTTTCAGATTCTCCCTGACGAGCTGATTCCATCGATACGTCACACTTGGGGTCTATCGCAAATGATTACAGAGATATAGGTTGTTCCAAATCGAGATTTTTCAACTTCAGGATTTGTTTGTGTCGAAACTATTCATTATCGGCCAAAACGGCTCACATGTCCCTATCTCGGCTTTTGATTTACTATTCATTGATATTTAATCGAAACAGATACAGGGTGATCAGAATTCTGAATCTTGAACCACCCTGTATCTGTTCCGATTAAATATCTGTAAATAGTGAATCAGAAGTTGAGATAGGGACATGTGAGCCGTTTCGACCGATAATGAATAGTTTCGACACAAAAAATCCCAAAGTTGAAAAATCTCGATTTTGAACACCCTATATCTCTGAAATCTTTTTGGACAGACCCCAAGTATGATAAATCGGTGAAATCAGTTCTTCAGGGAGAATCTAGAAATGCGATAGAATACAGGTTGTTCCATTTGAAATGACAATGTTGCTACTACTTTCTAGTAGAATCGGCAACAATGCATTGTCGAACATTATTTAAATAAGGAAAGCGTATTGTAAAATATAAGCATGCGCATTTTCATGGATTTCTCCCAGCTGATTCTCGATATAAGGATAGTGTGAGCTCTTCGTGACATATCCTGTATTGAAAAGAAAGATAGATAAACCGGGACCCAGGGCTTTGAAATTAAAGAAAACTAATGGTAATTATGAAATTGTCAAATTATCTAAAATTTCAGCACATCAAGTATCAATTATATTTTTGGCGGAAATAATGAAAAACTCATTTCTCCAATGCAGGTGTTCATGATATTAAATACAGTGGCTTTAATTTTTTTCTCGCAAACGAAACCGGATATGAAGAAAATACAAGAGACCAAAAAGTTGTATTTTGAGTTGTTCAATCTAAAAAGAATGAAAATTTACCAAAAAAAGTCAGTGGCGTACTTTCTATTTACAATATTGTTGGCTGTGGTGCCCCCTGAGACGCCACTGGCCCCAATGATTTCAATCTAAATAGGGCTAAATAAGCGCCTGATTAGTTCAAATGAAAGTACCAAATTTCAACAAAATCGGTTTCATGATATTCATGATATTTTGTAATTACCGTTTTTTTTAATTTCAACGCCCTGTATCTCAGAAACGAAGCAACTCCGGACATATGTTAATAGGAACTTTTCTTCCTAAAATGACCTAACAAATCACGATCTGCAGTTGGGAACTGTAGTTAGGAAACACCCTGTATACATCACTTTTTTTCGATATTGATAAAAGACTTGTTCTGGAATTAATCGGTTAGAAGTGTGATGCAACTATTTAGTCATGCCGGACGAGGCAAAGCAATCAGTCTTATTTTAGATAGTGTCGCGATCGGTCGAATCACGTAGTACTTGAATTAAAACGATGAAATGTCATTTCAAACGGACTGTTGTGAGTGTTGTGTTTTTTAATTCCTTGTTCAGTACAGTGATTATATCGTGTAAAGTGTGTGTTATTGTGTTTTGTGTTGTTTGTTCAACTGTGGAAAAGCGGAGGTTTCAATACAGGGTATGTCACGACGAGCTTACACTATCTCTATATCGAGAATCAGTCGGGAGAAATCCATGAAAATATGTATGCTTTTATTTCAGAATACGCTCTCTTCATTTGAAATATTTTCAGCAATGCAGTGTTGCCGCTTTTATCAAAAAGTAGCAACAACTTTGTTATTTCAAATAGAAAATCCTGTATTTTATTGCATTTTCAGATTCTCCCTGAAGAGCTGATTTCATCGATACATCACACTTGCGGTCTATCGGAAATGATTACAGAGATATAAGGTGTTCATAATCGAGATTTTTTAACTTCAGGATTTGCTTGTGTCAAAACTATTCATTATCGACCAAAACGGCTCACATGTCCCTATCTCAACTTTTGATTTACTATTCAGTGGTATTCAATCGAAATAGATACAGGGTGATCAGTATTCTGAATCTTGAACCACCCTGTATCTATTCCGATTAAATATCTGTAAATAGTGAATCAAAAGTTGACATAGAGACATGTGAGCCGTTTTGACCGATAATGAATAGTTTCGACAAATCTCGATTTTGAACACCCTATATCTCTGAAATCTTTTTGGATAGACCCCAAGTGTGACATATCGATGAAATCAGCTCTTCAGGGAGAATCTAGATATACGATAGAAAACAGGGTGTTCCATTTGAAATGTCACTGTTGCTATATTTCAAATGAGAAGAGCGTATTCTAAAACATAAACATGCACATTTTCATGGATATCTTCCAACTGATTCTCGATACAAAGATCATCCTAAAAATGATTCATTTTATATTGCTTATCGCGTAGTTCAACTCAAAATAATAATCGACCTGTCCGGCCTTTTTTCGATAACATACTTTTTTGAATAATTCATTCCAATACCGAATCGCACTGTATTTTACATTTCAATTTCACTTGCCGTATAATCTCGATATTGATCAAAAACTTGTTCTGGAATTAATCGGTTAGAAGTGTGATACAACTATTTAGTCATGCCGGACGAGGTGGTGAATCAAAGCAATCAGCCTTATTTTAGATAGTGTCGCGATCAGTCGAATCAAGTAGTACTTGAAATAAAACAATGATATCGTGCTACTTACAAGTAATACGAACCGAAAAGGAATGTCCTTTCAAACGGACTATTGTGAGAGATTGTGAGTGTTGTGTTTTTTTTAATTTCTTGTTCAGTAAAGTGATTATACCGTGTAAAATGCGTGCTATTGTGTTGTTTAACTGTGGAAAAGCGGAATTTTCAGACAGATAGATAGACTATCAAGTATTTCAATCGAAATATTATGCTGTGCCATTTTAATGCTGGTAAGTACTTTATTCCTAAACAGTTTTTATTATAATGTTCGATAATCGGTTGAAGCGATCGGAAATTACTATGATTGAAAATTGAAACACAGTTTTTTGATTTTACGCTTCAAGTGTACAACAGTTCATAATATTATTAAAATATTCATTGACCTGACCCGACTGTCCGAGCTTTTGTTCGATATCATTACTGATTTTGATAAATTTATTCCAATTCAGACTTACACTATACAGTGCTTTCGGAAAGTACTGAATACATTCATTTTATATCTAGAAACAGGTCGATTATAAATTTTTATTTGCCACATTTATAATGAAAACTTAAATAAACAGGGTGATCCACGTTTGAGTAGTGACGTCCACGGGAGTTTTTTTAATGGAAAACCCTATATATTAATAAATTCTTGAACTCGTAATGGAGAGCTGAAGTGAAAGATATATCACATACAGGACTTATACACAGTGCATCCGTTGAATTCAGTGCTCTCGTAAAGTAGTGGAAAAATACGTGAAAGAATAAACGAACAATTTTTGGAAACAACGCTGAAACTGTCGGATTTCGTATTCATCAATACATACAATATGATGCATGTAGGAGAAATGATAATAATTTTCACGAATTTATCCACTATACATATAAAGAGAAGTGCACAAAACAAGGCCAGGACTGTATCTTTTGAATTATTCGAGATAAGGTTTTGGAAATTGGTGGGCAGATAGTATACCAAATGGCTCATTAATTGATGAAACAATTTTTGTTCTATCACTTCTGGTTTTACTGGAAACGACCCCAATATTGTATTCCATAATCTGTTAGGGATTATCATGACGAATTCATCAATACCAGGTTTGATGGGGTTATTTCAAACGATTACGCAGATATTCGCCATCTAAGTTTCCATATGCACAATGAGTGTGACAGAGAAAGAAGTTTTGATATTGCCAAGTTCGAAGTTTCCATATTATGGAAACTGAAAGTGATAGAAGAAAGATTGTTTCATCAATTAATGAGCAATTTGGTATACTTGCTACCTCGCTTGCTACCCACCAATTTTCAAAGCCCTCTCTAGAATAATTCAAAAGTTACAATCCTGGTTTTTTGTGCCCTTCTCTGTATATATATACATACAGAACACTGAATTTAATGGACGCACTATACATCAACCCTATGTGTGATATACAGAGTGACATTTTGAAAATTTCCCACCCTCAATATGTTTCTTCCAGTGAATCAAAAATGTTTGCTGTTATCTTCAATTTTGATTTTATCAATTTACCTCCTTGTATTTTGGAAACTGAGCAATTTCGGACTGAAGTAGGTTGCTTGAAATCAGTCTATCTTGACCTCAGGACTATGTGTTGAAATTTTGTACAGACCTTTTAATGACACCCTGTATTTAGAGTACGAACAATCAAACATAACCACAAATAAATATATTATGAAAAAAAGCGGAAACTGACAGTACACGAACGCACATGAAATAAATTTCGAAGATTTGTCATTCTGAGAACATATTGGTCTCGATATTGGTTCAAGATTCAGAATTCTAATAACCCTGTATCTGTTTCCATTGAATGTCAGCAGATCCTAAAGATGCAATGAAATACAAGGTGTTCTATTTGAAAATCGAAAGTTGAATCCCGCTTGTGCTTCGAGGTTTCAGCCGAGGTTACAGCGTTGTAATATGATAATTGCAGAAAAATAAGCCCCCGGCAAATTGAAATCGACCTGTCCGAGCAATTTTCCATTAATTGCAACACAACGGATGCATTATTGGAAGGCAACAGTCGTTGTTTCAATGAAGAGGTGCCCTCTTAGAAGGGTAGACATATGTTCTTGTCCATATATTATAATGAATAATCAGAAACAGGATACTAATCCAAGTTCTTTTTAGGATATTCCAGGAACGATGCAAACTATCCCAGATGTCTATGAATCTCAGCACCTGTATTTGCATAAACTCATTATTTGTTTATATACCACTACACGTCGGAACTCTACATCATTGAATGCCGCTCCAGACAGATCGATGGAATATGGAGATTTTCAAGATAAGTTTTCATAACATTAAATTTGTCCGTCTTCAAATGCATATCATATTTCTATTCTTCTGTGAATACTTCTTCTTGGAAAAAACGACTTTTATTCGGATTCATTCAATCGTGGAGTCGACAAACTAGTCGACATTCTGTATGGAATCACGTCAGGTACCCTTACGAGGGGAGAGTATCAACTTTGGCGATCGTAATGCCTCTGTACAAAGGAGGGTGTCACCTTTAAGAGTTAGGTATGAACAGTGGTTTTATACCAGTTATTTTCCAAATTGTCAGGCATTATTGAAATGCAACAGTCGTTGTTTCAATGGAGAGGTGCTCTTAGAAGAGAGGAACGATGTTCTCGTCCATATTCGTGAATTATGATGAATAATTAGAAACATGATACTAATCCAAGTTCATTTTAGGATAATCCAGGAACGATGCAAACTATCCCAGATGTCTATGAATCTCAGAAAATGTATTCGTAAAAACTCCCTATTCCTTTATATGCCACTACACGTCGGTACTCTACATCTTTGAATGCCGCTCCAGACAGATCGATGGAATATGGAGATTTTTAAGATAAGTTTGTATTAAAGTTTTATTTATCAGTCTTCAAATACATATCATATTTCTATTTTTCTGCGAAAACTTCTTCCTGGAAAAAACGACTTTTATCGGTTTCATTCAATCGAGGAGTCGAAAAACTAGTCGACATTCTGTACATAAGTGTATGGAATCACGTCAGGTACCCTTACGAGGGGAGAGTATCAACTTTGGCGATCGTAATGCCTCTGTACAAAGGAGGGTGTCACCTTTAAGAGTTAGGTATGAACAGTGGTTTTATACCAGTTATTTTCCAAATTATCATGCATTATTGAAAGGCAACAGTCGTTGTTTCCATGAAGAGGTGCTCTTAGAAGAGGGGACCGATGTTCTCGTCCATATTTGTGAATTATTATGAATAATTAGGAGCATGATACTAATCTTAGTTCTTTTCAGGATATTCCAGGAACGATGCAAACTATCCCAGATGTCTATGAATCTCAGAAACTGTATTTGCAAAAACTCCTTATTCGTTTATATGCCACTACACGTCGGGACTCTACATCTTTGGATGCCACTCCAGACAGATCGATGGAATATGGAGATTTTTAAGATGAGTTTTCATAACATCAAATTTGTCCGTCTTCTGATGCATATAATAATTCTATTCTTCTGCGGATACTTCATTTTAGACATAACGACTTTTATCGGTCTCATTCAATCAGGGAGTCGAAAAACTAGTCGACATTCTGTACAAGTGTATGGAATCACGTCAGGTACCCTTACGAGGGGAGACTATCAACTTTGGCGATCGTAATGCCTCTGTACAAAGGAAGGTGTCATCTTTAAGAGTTAGGTTTGAACAGTGGTTTTATACCAGTTATTTTCCAAATTACCAGGCATTATTGAAAGGCCACAGTCGTTGTTTCAATGAAGAGGTGCTCTTAGAAGAGAGGAACGATGTTCTCGTTCAAATTTGTGAATTATAATGGATAATTAGAAACATGATACTAATCCAAGTTCTTTTTAGGATATTCCAGGAACGATGCAAACTATCCCAGATGTCTATGAATCTCAGGAAAAGTTTTCGCAAAAAATCCCTGTTCGTTTATATGCCACTACACGTCGGTACTCTACATCTCTGAATCCCACTCCAGACAGATCGATGGAATATGGATATTTTAAGGATAAGTTTTCATTACAGTTTTATTTGTCAGTCTTCAAATACATATAATATTTCTATTCTTCTGAGAATACTTCTTCTTGGAAAAATCAACTTTTATCGGTTTCATTCAATCAAGGAGTCGAAAACTAGTCGACATTCTGTACATAAATGTTTGGAATCACGTCAGGTACCCTTAAGAGGGGAGAGTATCAACTTTGGCGATCGTAATGCCTCTGTACAAAGGAGGGTGTCACCTTTAAGAGTTAGGTATGAACAGTGGTTTTATACCAGTTATTTTCCAAATTATCAGGCATTATTGAAAGGCAACAGTCGTTGTTTCGATGAAGAGGTGCTCTTAGAAGGGTGGACCGATGTTCTTGTCCATATTTGTGAATTATAATGGGTAATTAGAAACATGATACTAATCCAAGATGAAAATCTATGCCGTTGAAACATTCGCAGGAATGGAAAATCACGAAAATCCTCGCGTCAGGGAGGCGACAAACCAAGATCCTCGATTCCGGGAAAGGCACAAACGTCCAAGAACCCAACTCTTGGACAGGTAAGCACACTACACAACACACATACACAACACATACACAACACAAAACCCTCAAAAAAGAATAGCGGTTGATTCTGGCCCGAAACAATCACGTAAACTCACCCATTTATCAAATACAAGAATAGTAACTATTTTACGTAATGCAAAATCTTTATGATTCCTATTTTCAAAAAACCAATAAGCCCAAAAGTCACGTAAACACCACTAGAAGTCAGATTCTAGACGTCAGTCCCTGCGGATTGTCTTGCTTTTCAAACTTCTTCACCCCCTAAACAACCGACTCTTAAAGTCACAAGCCCAATGTGGGCTTTTTGATTATGAGGACCGTTGCGCTGCAACGGGGGAGGTGGAAGCGGTTAAGGCTGTTCCTAGTCACCTTCAGTGACTAGTAATGTTCCGTACTGAGGTCTCATAACGATTGGGCAATAAATATATCAAGGGAGCAAAGGTATTCCTCCCGCGTGTGAACTCCGCTACGCGTCGGGCATTAAACACACATGGGAGGAAATGAACCTTTGCTCCCAAGATATATATGTGATTTTATCAACGAACGCATATATTTGAGAGCGTCGATCTTAAAATTGTGCTGCAAACGGTCTATCCAAGGGTTCATACCTTGAATCTCGATCCAAATAAATGTGTTACATGATCTAAGGTTGCAAAAGTGTTGTATGCGCCCACAGAGTATGCCATGGACAATTATTAACAGTATATTTGAATCTGAACGAAAATCTGTTTATTGTGATACTGCATTTTATTTAAAGTTTCAACTTTCGATTGAGTGAGTTTGGAAAATTAGGAATTGTATGAGTGTATTGGAGTTTGGAAAGGAAATTGTTATTTGTTTTATAGTAGGGAATGAGACACTGATTAGGTACTTGGGTAGCACATATCTTATACGTATATATCTACCAAGGAAGCAAGCTGAGGCCGATTTATTTTACCTCCCACGGGAGGTAAAGTTCTGTTTACTCCCGTGACACAGGTTTTTGTCCTTAAATGCGGGAGCAAACATTTACTTTCGATGCAGTGAGTACATAAATAAATAAATCAATCCTGTCTACCACTCACCATCCGATTGCCCAAATGACTCTTGGCCGCCCGGCCGCCCCCCGCACTGCCCAGTCCGGCCGGCTCCGAGTTCCACATGGTCTTCTCGACGGGCCAAGTACCGTGGTAGAGCGAAGCCACGTCCCCCGAAGCCGCCGCTCGGCGGTTCCTCTGCGGCGGCGGTTCGCTGCTGACCGACAGCTTGGCGCTGCTGCCGCTGCCGCCGCCTCTACACGCGTACTCGTCGTCCTCGCTGCAGGTGGTGTCGCCGCCGTCGACGCTGCTGCTGAGGCCGCCATTCTCATACTGAAACAAAGACAACACCATGAGGGTCATGAGGTGGAAGTGAAAAATTAGATACACTGGATGGTGTAAAAACTTCACAAACGATTAGATTTCCACAAAATTCTCGAACACACGACATGTTTCGCTAACACAGTAGCTTCGTCAGGTGATATACTGGTACAATGAACAAAACTAACGTTGGCTTGCTTGACTTTAACATATACTACTTTCCCAACCTGAAGGATTAGTAACCTGTGGACAGGTACGATAAACCTCCATTTTCGGAAATTAGGCACAATATCTACATTAAAATACGGTATACCGGATTAACTTGAAAGAGTTGATAGCCAATACATATAATTACTTACTAAGAAAACAAATTCAACAGTGGTGAACTATTGAGGTCTAATTGATCATTAAGTAAAATGTCACAATTTTTTTGAGTTTGTTGATTTCTAATGATTCAAGATGATTCGAGTTTCAGTCCTTTATTTTCTACATGTAGAATTTAGGAATTATCATCAAAACTATGGTTTTCTTCTAATATATGGTTGGCGTATGTTGAATTTGTTTTCTTTTTCATAAAATTCATGTTAGGTTCATGAATGCGCTGATTAAACGTACGACCTGTCTGACCGATATATACCTTAGGACAAGATCCACAGTTGAGTTTGTATAGCCCTGAATTTTCGAATTTAGAAGTTGTGTCTTTATTATTCTTGATAAGCCGTCCCAACGTGTTATTTGTTCTATATGCCACTTTAGGCAAGCGAGCTTTCGCGTTGTGCTATTGTACAATGCACAAAAAATGCAGCGAGAGACGAAGGAATATGATTTTTCAGGTAAATAGTACTCAGATAGTTTTCATTAAAATAAATTGAAATTCCTTCTGCCACTTCTGCAATACAAGCTAATACTGCAAATAGATTGATAATGTCTACAACACACACGATCATATTTCGTCAGCATGACAGACCAGTCCTCCCGTTTGATTGCATGAATCCAATCTTCTTGCATTATTTTAGAAATTTCACGAGTATTTCTATTAGCTCCTATTGCAGAAGGAATTCCGATGAGAAATCAGAGAAATTACCAAATTTCAAAACTGAAAACTATATGTGAGTGACTATAGTAGGTACTTACTTTAAAATCATAATTAGGATCATAATGTACCAACCGGATTCCTTCGCCTTCCGCTGCAGTTTTCGTGCATTGTACAACAGCACAATGTGATGGCATGAGCGAATTAATGAATAGCCGAAAATACGATTCGAATGCCGAAATAATTGTGAAAACCTATTACAATCACTTGTAAACAAATAAGAAAAGTGAGGTTGTGTTTCAATGTTGTGCCTGCAGGGTCGGTCATCTGACAGTTCTTGCATGCAACCCATAGCCTATTTCCATTTTCCCTCTAATGTTATGATTGATTTGAAAGAAAATCCAATCTCTAAAATCGTATCTGACAATCAAGGAAATTGAAAAAACGAAGAGCAGAATATATGTCTTGGCCTTTCCTACCCCTCGTAATACCTCATTTGTTTATAATAATTGATAAATATACAAATTTGCGGCGTATGAGACAGTGTTGACTTTGATGTAGATGCAATTACGAAGAGAACGCAATTTGCCCCATCAAAATCGAACCTTCTTCACCGAATTCCGAGGAATATAGCGATATATAGTAGTGTATTATCATTAGGATACTAGAGCGTTGGATATGTGTCTCAATCGTAGGATGGTGATCATGAAACCGATTCCCCAGCAGTACAGCGATATTTCCTCGCAAAAAAAAACGCATAATAAATCCTAAATCGGAGATAATACAGCACGATCCACTGTTACGTTTGAATTATCAGTGCTGCTCTTAAGGTGGCGTTTGTAGCCAGTAACAAAGCCTACACAGAACATACAAGGGCTGGAGGAACTTCTGTACTAATACTATCGTTATTTTATTATCGATATGAGTGTAGTGTATGCATGAATGTAGACTATTGAATAGATGACATGTAAGTTGACTAGAGTAAACTCACATTTGATGATACGGCATTAATCTGGCGCCCCAAAAGTAATGATTCCATGGTATAGTCTAACGGCTCAGTTGGCCCATCGGTCTGTAACAAAAAAAAAAAGAAAAATAAAATAAAAAACCGTGATACATGGTATGAGACTGAAATGGGCATTCAAATAGATGAGTCACTGACCTACATTTCCGAATGTTTTCCATTCTGAACTGTTATAAGCTACAAGGAGGTTAACCTACAGACTATGAACTCATTGGAATATCAATAGTAATACTATAAGTACTTCAAAATATTCGGGTTATAGATCGATAACTTCTTGCATAATTACAAAGTGTGAGTTTAACGGTTGAAATAATCCGACCGCGAAGCAGGATTATTCTGTTAAACTGGCACGATTTGTAATTGTGCAGGAAGTTTGACATGTATAACCTTGATACTTTGGATTTCGAATTGTATTCGATGCGATTATTTTTGAGTAGTTCTGGACGAACGTCTAAATTTGACGACGCGCTTTGTTGTATGGTTTGTATGTAACAATATGAATTGGTTGCTATGGAAATGTGAATAATACTAAATTCCTGATTTGTGAAACTACTCTAAGTATATCCACGTATATTCGAAATTGTACAAGGTAGCTTAACTCAATAGTACGTTCTGATTGGTTTAAGATCAAACGAAGAAAATAATCATCTATATACCTCTATCCGGGAAGGAAATCCTGACGGAAAGGTTTCAGGACAGCTGGAGACAGGCTCTTGGAATGGGACAGTCCAAACTCCACAAAGGAAACCCGTCACGAAGACAGACCAATGCCATCTTGGCATTGAACAGGAAGGAATTGAAAATGGTGGTGGGCCTTCTGACAGGGCACTGCCACTTGAACAAGCATCTCAGCACGATCGGGATTGTGGAGTATCCTTAATGCAGATGGTGCTTAGAGGATGAAGAGACTTTTACTCACATCCTCACTGAATGCCCGGCAGTAGTGGCAGCAAGGGATATCCATGTTGGGGGTATTATCCCGGACCCAGAAGATGTTAAAAAGATCCGGCCTATGAAGTTGGTTTCTTTTGCTCGCGAGATCGGCTTTTTCCATGACTTGCGATCCCAGGAATGTGGGTGCACAATGGGCTCGAAAGGGAGGCTTAAGTGCGTCAGGTCCCGGACATGATCATATAACAGAGGATACAGAACCGAGTACAGAACCCTTTGTATGTTCAAAATGTTCGAATCCATTTTTTGTTGCTTTTTCAACTGCATTCAACTTCAACTATCAATCTAAGTCGAACACTTAAATGTCGAACTTATTCATTCGCTTGTATCCATTTCTTTGTTCTCACATATTCTTAATCCCTTCTATTATTATTATCCTGGGATTAAACAAAATAAAATATTTGATTTGGAAATTGAAATCAGGTAGTGTTTGTCTCCTCAAGAATGAATTTTATGAGATAATATGTAGATTATTTTTGGAAATCTACAAAGATTAATGTATTGCAATGCAATGAAAATAAACGTCTGGTAATGTTAACAATTTCAAGGTTCTATCTGTGATTATGTTTGGCACTGGGACAAGAAAACGTGAACTAATTTTCCGAATAATAACCCAATAATAACCATAATTTCAGGTACTTCACATGAATCAATTTTGTAGATCAAAAATCGAAATGATTATACGTCTACATATAAACTAGGAACAGAATATTGGAGATAGAGTTAACCGCAGACAACTGTTTCGGACTTTCAGCCCTCATCAGTAAGGTGAAAAAAGTGCAAAGGATAGGCAACACTTGGTGGAAGACGAACTAACAATTCAACGGAGTCAACAAAGAGAAGCCAGCCGCACATTTGTCTGCGGTTGAATCTGTATGGGGACTCTGTCCAATATTTTCTTTCTAGTCGACAATAAATTTAGGGTCATCGTATGGGTAACTGTTTTCTATTTTCATCTTAAATGAATTAATTTCTGACCGAACAATTCATCATTTTCAAACATATTTTTGCTCAATATAAGAGCAGATGATATTCTACAAGTTTGTTCTTCAATCAATGAAAATGCAATGTAGGTACACATCCTTTTTAATTTCTTAATCTTCCCACGAAGTGGAAGCAATAATTGCCTCATCATAATTCCTCGATTTCTTCGTCATTATAGTCCAGTTAGTAGGGCGATAGAATGGTAAACAGATGATAATTCTCAGAGAAATAATTTGGGAAAGCGGTCAAAAAAGAATCATCAATCATCAATCATGGAGCATGGGAGAATATTATGCCTATACTAAGAGGTATAACCCCCCTATATTTTAAATATACGGTCCTGCCAAATTGTTTCTTGCCATTATGGGAAAAAGTTGAGTGAATTGTATATCGAATAAAGTAGAATCAGTTACCTGTGAATCCATAACAAGACTAACCTCCTATGTCATTATACCTTTGAACCATTCTGAGCAAAAGGTATTACCGTAATTCGTATTTTAGAAATGGATTAGAAGCAAAATCCAACTACAACAAGGCTCTCCTCCTGATACTAGAGTAGTTTTGGGGTTTATAAGTTCTTGAGAATATTTCCCTAGGCAAAAAATACAAATCTTTACCGCTCTATAGACAAACGAGTTTTGGTAGAGATTTGTTCTGACATATCTCGAGGTCCAGATTTCTGAAGAACACTGTGTGAGTAGGTAGAGAAGTTGCGGCCTTTCCTGCGGTGTTCCAATGATGCCGAGGAATTTGTGAGTGTGACACCCCATTAACTAGGCATATGGCTCATCTGTGAATGGAAGCCAAGAGCAACAGCAACATTATTCAACAAAATAAACAGGCTTGACTTTTAGTGTCGTTGATTTCAATTCAACCAGGTTGTTGGTTCCCAAGGCTGTACTTCCAGCAAGATCTTCATTAAAGCGAGAGTTTCTAGATTCCTGGAATTAAATGATAATTCTGGAAGAGAACGCAGTGTACAAAGTGCTGTCATCTGCAAAGCTTTAGATAGGACAGGTCGATACTACCAACAGATCGTTGATACGGAGTTGTAACAATGTTGGTGTCAGAATAGATCCAAAATATAAAATTCCAGAATTATGCACAATTAAAAATTATGATTATAGCGCAGAAATATTGAAAGAGGTATCTCGAAAGGAAGTTGAATTAACAAATGCCGTCATAAATATTTGTATTGTAAAAGGACTACAGAAAATCGAAGACAATGAAACTAGACAATTCATCTTAAACGACTACCACATACTAACAACAAGCGGGCATGCTGGGGTTAACCTCATGTTCAATAACATTAGGAAATATCATTTCTGGCCAGGTCTCAAACATGATGTAGATATGTTCGTCAAGAAATGTGCCAACGGTACAAACATTCAAGGCTTGATAAGGAACCGTTAGCAATCACAAGTACAGCTACCAAAGCATTCCAAAAAAATTTTTTTTTTTTTTCAGATTTAGTCGGAGCTTTGAACCGAACAGACGATAATAATCTGTACATATTAACGATACAATTTGAAGGGTAGCCACTGCCAAATAGAGAAGCTGCTCCCAAAAGACATTGTAACGGACAGAGGAACGATTTTTTTATTGGCGGTCCGTCATTCACCACCAACCACCACATGGAGCAATCTGTCTGAAAGAAAACTAGAAGAAGACATAGCAGAAGTGGTAAGCCATATGATGGGTTTTGTGAAGAGATCTTTGATGCCAACCAACCACGGTAAATGATTTCGATTAAAGTGAGTAGATTAAATAGAGTGACGACAATAGACCTCCGAATGGCTGCCGTTTCCGGAATGTCAAGTAACTGAGACAATATTCCAGGTTAGGTATAAAATTCAGTCAGTTAAGGAAGTTAGTGAGATATTTATTCACAATAAGAGAATACAAAAATATATCGAAGGCCATACCACAGGCACTTCTAGACTCTAGAGGTTTTACAACTTACCTGAGCAGGTAGCGATTCTCTTATCGAGAGTTATCACGTAAGGATGTCCAAAACCAGGAAAACTTTGATTCAAATTGTTCACAAATTAATTTCCTACTTTATTTATTATTTATTCATTACCCTGACAATATCGCGAACATTCCCAGGTGATGCGATCTGCTTTGCTACATCACCGAATACCTAAAAATCTGAAGGGTATCTCCCATGCATTCATGAATTTGCGCCTTCGAAGTGCCCACCTGAAGTTAGGTTGAGATATTTGATATTTTAATTTCATCATCTAAATAATCTGAGACTTACGAGTCCCAAAAGATGGATTCTAGTAGTTAATATCCAAGGTACTGACTGACGTATAGAGTTTCATGTCCGATTGTTGGATGTTTTGTGTACAAAGAGCAGATAGCAGAGACGAAGCATTGATAAAGTGAAATGGAATACGTAGAACTGAATGGAGAAAAGAGGACATGTGGATGCACCTCCATATTAAGTACTGACCAATCAAAAAGTGAACAACAATTAATTGTCATCACTTTATTAATAAAGTCACTCTAATTTCGATTAAACCAATGCCACAGCTAGATTTTCCCCATGTTTTTCTTACGAAGATTGCCTGGACCATAAACCAGCAGGGCGGGGTATTAATGAAATCATGCTCCCTACAATATAAATTACCAATGGAAATTGAAAGCGTGGTCAACCAGCAATGTTAAATCGAAGGAAGGCCGAATAAATGTAAAAGCATAAATTTTTCTGACTCAATGGAATGAATCATGCTTATTAAATTTGTATATATTATTAGAATAACATTGCAATACATAGAAAGAAAGTGATTTATATAAAAATGAATTCTGTCGAATCAGAATTAATAACCCTCAAAATAATAACATGAAATTTCAATTATTGTAACCAACTGTACAGATTCACTCATTGAGAAACATCATCCTGTCCCTTTCACGATGTTTGTTGCCAAACTCCTCCGAAACGGCTTGGCCGATCCTCATGAAGATTTTTTTGAATATTCCGTAGGTCTGAGAATCGGTCGTAAACAATTTTTCAAACTGAAAATTCAAGATGGTGGATCCAATATGGCAGACGAGTTTTGTAATTATGGTCCGATTCTATTCAAAATTGCCATTTGTGGGTTTTCAAG